AGCAATATTAGGTCGTTCCATACGTTTTAGCATCAGAGAAATAAACACCAGGTTTATTATCCATAATCAGCTGAAATTGCATGATTTTGATATAGTTGAATTGTGCATTTTTTTGAGCACATTTTGATGTACAACTTGCATACAATTGCTCTAATATGAAGCTGTCATGGGAAAAAATTCGCTTGCACTCATGCACGAATAGCGTGTCAAGGAAAATGCTAGTTATTCGGTACGCAGGATTAATGGAGCTTCCTGTGGACGAACCGGGCGCTACTGTTCCTCCAGGCTGTTTTCTCCAGCTTTGAGCTTCAAGAACCACTATCTAGCCGTCCTAACAGTATCATCATCCCAAGCTCCACTAATCTTGCCCCGCTGCTTCATTAGCATTTTGCCCTACGCGCCATTCGTTCATCTATAGCAAAAGAATTTGTTCCCAAGACAACTCTATCTTAAAACAAGTATAGGCAATTTATATGCGAGATGCTCGCAAGAAAAGGCGCAATTGAACGATATCAAAATCGTGCAATTATAATCGTTTCTGGTTAATTAATTTGGCGTTTACTGATCCACTGCCGGAACTTATAGAATAACCTAATAAAATCCTCCATGCTTTGAATAAGTTCATAAGTCTCTCTTGTACTTGCTGCTACTGAGTCCTGTCGAAGATTCATGGAATAAGCTTCGAACTTTCTCTTTTTGTACTTTCTCATCTACCTGTCTCATATTTTTTTTCGTCCATTTCATTCAGCATATTGCAGTAGAAACGCTAGAATAAGTTTTTGTTCAATCAATGTCATCCACCTCCTCTTCTGTTTCGTGTTTCCACGTATTATTTGCAAATAGGGGGTTCTTTTTGACATCATGCCTTACTTCCACCTTGTTTCTGGGAGCCCTTTCTAATTATAATGTTTTCAGAAAATTTAGGCAATAATCAAAGATTTTTTAACTCGGCGTCAATTCTCTTATAGAGGATTATTTATCCCAGGGGATCGGCTGAACCGAGGGAGGGTGCTAGATGCTACTGATGAGTCCCAATAGGACGAATAGGCGCCTAGGCGCACTAGACCAATTGGCTCAATGCACGTCATACCCTTATCAGATATTTAGAGAATAACTAAGAACTCATCGTTCCCGCGATATTCTCTTACGTCGCTTTCGCTAGTAAACGCATCACCTTTGAATTGGTTCATGAAGTGGTTGACTAGCTGTAAAGTATTCAAGCTGACGTCGTTATGAGGCAGTTAATTCCTGATTTTGTAGCGTAATAAGAAGGTTATATGGTGTTGCAGTGGCAAGAAAACGTGGTGAGAAAATCAGTTTTGTAATTGACAGTTTTTGCCATAAAATTCATGCCACATTTTTCAGGTTTGGAAATATTTTTATGCACCAATCTGTCTTGAAGTCCAGTTTTTTGTCATTCGTATTTTGTTCTTTGTTCGCATTCTTTGCTGCCCTGTGTGGATTCGCCATTGACCTAAAAATTTTGTATTGAAATAATTATCCTTATGAATGAAATTTTAGAGCTATTATGCTCTGTGACAAAAACACAGCAGTTGTCGGAAACATGTTTTATATTCTACCAAAAGCCAATGACTAAGCCTGCTTTACGATGCATATCGCATCTCCTAACATGAGAATGATTTGGCTAGATTTTTTACAAGTGAGCATCGATATTCAACACAGCTGTCAAAGATAAAAAGAAGATAAATCCTACTTTGATCAAATCATGCTGATCGCCTCACCCTCTCTGCTTTCTGCTATCATCAGTTGGTTGAAACTATCTGAATGTTGAGAAGGTTCCTTTACGCATCCCACCTCCCCACCCCCCCCCCCCTTCTTTCTCTTTCCAATACCCCTTGCTGGCTGAAAATATGACTGACTGCGCTTTTGTAGTAAGGTTTCAGCGATGAAGTGTTCTGCAGTTGCCACTCTCACCTATCAAAGAAGAGTTTTCCATAGAAAAGATGTACAGCATGGGAAAGGTCTCTTTTCTCCCATTTATCGGATTGATGAAAGGTTCCTAAACACACACGAAAAAAGTCAAATTTTATGTTCGTTCCACACCGTATCGACTATTGTAAACTCATGGGAAAATCTCAGGAAGATAAGCTCCTCTGCTCGACATTAATTTATCGAAAAGGCGCGCTGTTTCAGCAAAACAATGCCGATCCTCACACCGCCAAGAAGACTCAGGAAAGTTTGATGAGGTGGAGGAACTGAGGTCTTGTTGCACACAGCCTACTGTCCAGATACTGCGCCGTTGAATTATGCTCTTGATCACTCAATGAAACATTTCCTGCGTGGACTCCGATTCGAGTCATTTGATCAGGTTGAAGAGGCATTTTCCAAGCGGGCATATTACTGGTCCACCCACACCGAAAAGCTGGTCCTCTTTAACCACAGGCAACAACGAATGACTTACAAAGCTTTTCAATATTTTCATTATACAGCACTTTGAATACTGCGCATTTGCCCTTTTTGTGATTTATCTAGAAGCAATCTAATGTGTAGCGCTTGTGACATCGTCTGCAGCTGTAGCCTTATAGAAAATGGCCTGTTACTACCTGTGGTTTCGAACTGGAAGCGTTCAGGTAGGGTTAATTGAAAATTCGTGGAACATCACCTGTTTGAAAGAATCGTGTTGTAAAAACCTCGTGTTTAGCTCAAAATGAAAAACCAGCAGTTATTGAAGAATATCCACTCTTAAATATTCGGTCTTAGAAACGTTGAAACTAGTAGAAAAGAGCTGAATAATGTTTCTTCTCACAGTTGATAGATGTGAAGAGAATCTTGTTCAATTGAGAAAAAGACAAATAAGACATTTTGATGGCTGGTTTACATTGGAGAGGAATTTCTCGTTGCAAAGCAATCTAGAATGTTGCTTACTCGTTGAAAATGCTTCATCTACATAGCATAGCTTCATGTCAACTTTTAAATGTCAAAATTAACCAGACATATTGCTCTCCTGAAATAGTGGTAGAGTCTACTCTTTCAGGATATTATGAAGGCAATAGAGGGGAATTTCGTTAGTGGATTAACAGTGATGTAATCCTTTCAGAATTTCGCAAAGTTTCGCAACATGACCAATGATGGGCTGTCAATCTGGGTTATCCTGGTGACAAGCATGCGATGTTCAGTATGGCAACTATTTATTGCATTCAGAAGGCATTACATCATTGTTCATTCCCAAAAGAACATGAGAATCGAAATAAGATTTGAGCGTGCAACATTAGATAAGGAAGATCTGTCGAAGATAGAACGACTACACGAATTCATCACCGACACTTCTGCAGTATGCGATGGTGAACGGATTCATTTCAAGGACATAAAAGTATTGAAATCATTGAAATATTCCACTGGTACAAGGTAAACTAATCAAGAACAATAACAAAAAGTATTTCTGCATATCCTGGCATCATATGTGCCACACTGTGGAGTCACTAGTAGTTCTTCCATTCAACTCGTTTTTACACCTCCATAATCTAATAAAGTCTTCAGATCCTTCTGCAGGTGACTTCGGCTGTTGTTGAGTTCTTTCGTCCTTATTAGATTGTCGATGAGCTTTGAATGACTCAATTCTTCCTGAAATTCTGAGACAGCCATGTTATAGCGTTTGCGTAGAATTGAAGAGATTGAACTGATCTCGGGCAAGTCTGCTGGCACTTTCCGTTTCAGGACGGATGTAAGACTAGGTGAGCTCTAGTGCGATTGAGCTAGCGTCTAGAATAAGGCCGTGCGAGTTATTATAAGGCTGACTGACACTGCGCTACCTTTTTGAATACCTACAGTAACGTTGTTAATGGGAACGAAAGTGAATGATGCAGTGGAAAGTAATGCACATTCCAGAAGCAGGCTCGCCCCTCTCTCCCAAAGTTCCCTATACTCATATATGAGCCCCTCATTTGGACTCTATTCAAGATCACCAAATGAGTTGTCTTGACCAACTTTTCCACAATTCTCAGTAAAGAAAGTAGCTGTCGGAGCCACACGCAAAATGTTCAAAAACTTTTGCTTACGATGAATGAGAGGAAACAAATAGAATGCAAAAAGTGCTAGGATCGGCGATAATATATGTAATGACGGGTCATGTATGAAAAAAGTGTGCAGAAAATGATAACACGTACTCCTTTAATGTTTCTCTGACTGTTCATTCTCTGGTGTACTAGGAAATATGCGAATTAGTGTTGCTCATTCCTTCAAGAGTGTTCTCTACATTTCACCTATCACGCAAGTCTGTGTACTTACAACATTTCGTAAAAACATAATTAGATAATTACCACACGTTCTCAGATCCAATCCACAGTACCAACTTTCTGCTAACCTCGGCAGCATTTCAATAATTCACTATTTTTTGATGGGCAGATAAAAGTTGTTAAAATATGATCTATTCAACACAACAGCGGCTGAAGTCCTGGTTGTTATGCCTTCTTCACATCCCAAAAGGTCAATTTACAACGCAGCCTACTCTGTCGAACGCTTCATAAGCGTAGAAAAAATAATTACGTGAATGTTGATATGTAAATCTTTCATTCGCATAGTAAGCAGTTTTTTAGGCTATCAGGGTCTTGTCGATCTTAAATCTTTTGATATTCAACATATTGTAGACGATGAGGGCTATATCCAACCTTCAACTTTCGGAAGGTCTGTTTTTTCTGCACAGAGTTTTTTTTTCCAATTTTCAGTACTTATTCGGAAGCCCAAATCCTGATGATTTCAACACTCTGCTTGATTTTCCAGAGAGGCCTTCTTGGTGTGCTGTAGCAACAAATATGTTCCACACTTGGAGTGCTTTGCTTGCAAGACAAATGTTTCTGGATGGCTGTTGACAAGATTACACTGATACTCATTGAGTAGCACAAATCTGGGCGATTCTCAAGCTAAATCTGGTTTCTACGTAGGACACTGAGGAGCGAAAAAATATAACATTACACACGCGGTTTTTTTTTGCACATAAGAGATTTTCATAAACCAAATGATGTAGAGTGGTGTGCAAAAACACTTGCTTCAGCCGGGATTCAAACCCACATCTCACCCTTTCCGGGAGCATGTGCTAAACCGTTGCACCACCGACGCTCTTTCTGCACACCACTCTTTTTAGGCTAAAACGCGTTATCTGTCAACAGCTTTATTGAAACATCATAACACCGCAATAGGCGGTCAAATAAAATGAATTCCGAGACATTTTCATGACAAAAAGTATGTGAGAGTATATGTAATCAATCATGTAGTAGCTAAGTAATACGAAAAAGCTGAAGTTGTTGCTTTCAAAACAAAGAAAAAACTTCTATTGAATAACGAGAACTCGCATGTTCTTTGTGAAAATCGAACAACAACTGCCCTCAAAAGGGTTTGTGGAGACTAGTCACTTAGTCGTACTTGGGTCACGAATATACTCGTCTGAGGTGAAAAATAACCCGAGGTAGTGCGTGAGGTCTCAAGTGATAACGAGATACATCATTTTGAGGTTTATAATAAAGTATTCAGAAATTATCCTCAACGAATTTATACGTTTTGTGCGCAGATAATTTAGTTTTTTATAAAGGACACCAAATTTGGCTCCTAATTTTTTCAGAGCAAATTTTACGACCTTGAGATTTCAATAGGTGCTCATGCACTCGGTTGCAAACTAGGTAGTGTCTTAAGGTATTCGGTAATATTTCAATCACCGCTGCCGATTCCATGAAACGTTGTTTTTTTTAGCAAGCTTTCCAATAGTGGTCTCAATCTCATTATTCGCTAACCAACGGGGCGCTTTTAGAAGTAACGCGTAAGAGTTAGATGGCGAGGACATTGACACGGTGCAGTATGTGTCGTTCCGCGCCTGTACAATTTTCGCTCATCTTATCACCTTTTACGTTATTTTCCATAAGCCGTGTTCATTGGTTTGCAAGGGTTATAAAAGCTTCACTTCCTCATCTCGCGACAATCATATTTGGCGTTGTATCCTCCTCAAGCCGTTTGCTCTGTCCCTCAAGGCTTCAATTTCCTATTCGGAGTTGGTTCGCATATGAAGCAATCTTCGGGTTTATCGTAGTCGAGTTGCGCAGTATGGAGTTCAAAAATCATTATTTTACTAAACGGTAAAATTTTTCGAAGTTTCTGGTGAATTTTTTTTCTTTAAGGGAGACTGCTGGCCATAGACTAATGAACACGACGACTTGTGGAGAATAACATAAAAATTAACGAGTGGGCGACGGTCGTACTGGCGCGGAACGAAGGCAAGCTGTGATGGGCAAACGTCTTCGCCATCTATCTCCTATCCTCTACTTTTTGTATAAGCTCCATAGGCTGACGAACAGAAGTATCGAAACTACTGCGCTATCGGGCGTAAATTTTATCAATACTGGGAGTTAAAAAACTGTTCTAAGAGCAGTTTATCTGCGCAGATCAAAAGTAACTATATGCTTGCTTAGAACAGATTTGAAGCTTGTACAAAGGATACATTCAAATCCTTTTTATCAAAGAAATGACTTCCTTTGACAGTCATTTTGGACGCCGTCATCCTCATTTAGAGTGAGAAATTGCATACTAGCTATCTTGGTAGAGGTCACTCAGTTGGTGGATTGCCGTTAAGGAAGAGACTTTATTTCAGCACGCCTACAGGAGGTTGCAGCACTTCTCCGATATCACCTCGATTTCCCAGTCAGCGAGATAAATTCTTCATTGGCTGTCATTTTTTTGGAGTTAGCCTAGACAAGGGATGGAAGATTTGTTTGGTTCCTTTGCAGAATCATTATTACGTCAAGAGAAGAAATCCGATTCACACACAGTCAGTGTAACGTAAAATCTATATGAACTCCATAAACCTTTTGGAAACTGTGACCAGGAATATCTAGAGCGGTCCTATCGAAAACATGGAGTACGTAGCATTGTAATACATGAACCAAATAGAAGATGCTTAGCAGAGGAGAAAGCTGCAAGTAATCCGGATGGATTTATTCAGGAAAAAAAGTCTTGACAACTTCAATGATCTAATCAGTTTTGATATCTATGGAGATTAGATGAGTGTAACACAGTTTATGGCATAGTTATATAAATATTAGACGTTTGCAGAATTTTTTCAATTTCACTGAGTACAATTAATAAAGCAGTGCAATAGTAACATAATGGCTAACGCTTCGGCCGGTCTCGCCCTCTTCACAACCGTTTGCCTGTTTCAATTTTCCAAATATTCGAACTTTCTCACCGTGCGGCACCCTAAGCGGCTGATCTCCAATGAATACTTAGAGGACTTTGAACAACTTAGCAGCTCTGAAAAAGACGAGAGTCGCCGAAATGTCAGCCACTGCGTTTATTCATAGTATTGAACTGTATTACAATTGTACTCAAAAAATGATGTTATTATCAATCTCGGAACTGGTTATCAGAAAAAAACGGCTGAATTATTCAATGGTACTAATAAGAAAGACAAAATCTGCAAACAGCAGGCGGAAAGTTCAAAGATCTTTGGAACGATGAATGCAAGAAAGCGAAAAGAGTATTTTCTTGAATTTTTGATCAAATTCGGTAATTTGGTTGGAGACCTAATAAAAATTGCTCGCATGTAGGGGTAAAGGTTTAAGAAGGAAGGTGGCATATAATTTGGCTTTGACAAGTCTGCTTGGTACGAGAATTATAAATCAGTCTTCATTAGTGCTATTTCTCTGATTTGCGTCCATTTTCTGTAAAATCAGCTGTTCCTTTTCGAACTCTCCATTCTCAATATTTCTACAAGCTTATTCTTCACCGCCGGCCATAAGCGGTATGTCATAAGATTTGAATTCTCATCCCCAGCCCAAAGCGCTGTCATTTGGTATCTGTAGGTAAAGACGAAGAAAAGAAAGCCCACATATAGCACAAAATTGTGACTTTTTCCAAACGTATGAGTTTTTTGCTGATTTTTTCAAATTGAAATCACCTTCATAAAAAATATCTTCATAGCAAGCAAGTTTTTGTGTAAAAATATCATCATAGAAAGCAAGTTTTTGTGTAAAAATATCTTTATAGAAAGCAAGTTTTTGTGTAATCTCAGCTTTCGACTGGTTACTAACACTTCTATGGAAAGCTCCTGTCGAGCGAATGGGGTCGGTTTTTCATTTGACCCTTATACTGAAAAGTACCGTTGAGGTGATTTGGACTGGAATCGAAGAGCAATGAAAATCGATTCTATGAGAAAAATCATGGATGATTATCCAAAATATCAGCCGAGTTTCTTTGAGTATGATAGAACCATATACAACCTTGTCATTATGAAGATGAGCCCATCCCTACTGATTTGAGCCTCATTACAGCTATTACAATATTACTTCAAACAATCATTGACTCGGCTGGCAGAGAAGATTTCACACGAGTCTCCACTTCGCGAGACTAAAACTTTCACAACAAAGTTTCGTCTATAAAAAACCTCACATCTTTCGATGGTTACTTTTGGTGGCACAATGTCTTTACCTAAAGTACTTATGATTTGTCGATAGTCTGACTCATGCAGATGATTCCAAAGAAATTATACTTCTTTTATAGCGAAGTTTGCTGCAAATAATCCTGGCAATAATGTGAAATGACAGCCATCACTCGAGCAGTTTGAGTTCTACATCTACACCTGCTACTCTGTCGACCAGTCGCAAAAGTTCAGAAAAAGATTTTATTCAACAATAATGAACCACCAAGACCGCACCTATTAGTGCCAAACTTTTCTCTACGTGCCTCAATATTGAATTTCCCTGTTACTATCATGACTGATAATTTGCATGTCGTTTTGAAAAGCATCTCATGTGCCGTATGGAACATTCTCAATATCTCCATGAGCAACATGTCTACCCAGTATACTAATAACATAATCGGTCACTGCTTTAAAGAAAGGTTAAAGTCTGTGCTGATAACTTTTCTGTGCATAAGTACTATCTGCGCTTCCATGATTCCCACTTTACCTTTCTTTTCGAGTGTTTTCCTAAGACCACAGCTCAGATTTCTCAGTTCTAAGAGAACACTCGAATAGAAAGGTTTGATATATTAATGACACCCGCCAAGAGCAATCGAGTGTACAACACTGTGTGTTCGGTGATAATTTCACCAAATATAGAGTGTAAAATGTTCGCCGTCACCTACTCTTAATACAGGGAACTGGGCGACCCGAGAGGATTGGCTAAGGACGAAGGGTAGCTGCCCGACTGACAAGACCATCAAGGTCGAAACACGTGTATCGGGCTCTATAAGTCAGTCCATTTAACAGATCACATGACATGCGTGGCTCAAAAATGATTATCTGGCATATTCTAAGTTTGATTGGAGCTTCGATGGCTTCACTCTCGATGCTGCCGATATCTTTTTGTAAATTATCAGCCCTTCATTTCATCAGTTTCTCATTGAGCAATTCAGTCCAAAAACCACAAGAATCTGTTGAGGATTTGCATGTTTTGAGCTGATGGGTCCAGTGGCATACGGGCGCCTGTTTCATCCTACTGGGACTCATCAGTAGCACCCTCCCTCGGATCAGCCAATCGCCTAAGGTTAAATAATCCTCTGTAAAAATTCGACCCGAGTATTAAATTACCTCAAGTAAGGTGATGTACTTATCTGACATTGTGGTGACCAGCAGTCGAGCGCGAATCCTTATAGAGGATTATTTAACCTTAGGGGATCGGCTGAACCGAGGAAGGATGGTACTGATGAACCCAATAGGACGAAACAGGCTTCTCTATACCACTAGATCTATCAGCTCAAAATATGCATATCATTATCAGATTATGTGATCTTGAGCGGGTCTGTAGAAGAGCGCTCGATAGATCAAGAATCTGTTCCAAAATCATTCTGACTATTACAATTAATCATGTTGTTCAGCATATTCTTATCGCTGTGAGCTCAGGATCTTGACCTGGTCAGAATAATGTACTCATTATTTTGGATTCAGCGTCGACTTCAGGTTTGTTCCATATTCATGATGATTAGTTTTTTTTTACTTAGCGCTGTTTTTTATTGTGAGTTTGAAGCAAGGTGATAAGCTAGGCTCCGCTTCAATCCTTCGCGTAGGCGAAAGTAATAGTTAACTTTGCTTCAGAATGCATCATTAATCTCGAGTGGCACTCATTTTCAAGATT